GGGGGGGGGGGGAACACCAAGGGAGGGTAGGGGAAAGGGGGGCACAAACAAAGACAGGGTCATGATGTTCATAGCAACAGTAGAATAAGCATCTCCGAAAAACATTCCTACACAGCAGGTCACCAACCTGTATCCAGCAGGATATCACAACCATATTATAAACAAACATAGAGTCATGAGCAGAGCATTTGTTTAAATTCCACATAATCCCTGAAAGCTATACAACAAGACCACATTTCTAGGGCCCTGATGGACCTATTTTGGTCAAACACTACCAAGGTCTTCATAGTGTAAATATCATTCATTATCTGAGCCCATTCCAGTAGCCCCAGAGGTTGAGTGGATTTCCAATTTCTAAAAATAGCCAGTCTAGCTGCCAGTATAAAGTGGCATAAAATGCCCTTCTTAACTTTGGAGAGGAAACCCAGAATTTTTGGCAGGAGTCACCCTGGGAGAGGGGCATAAATCAGAAACACACATATTTTGGTGGCAGGCAAAAACTGACTTCCAAAACCCGGTAATGACAGGACAGCTCTACCATACATGAATATACTGTAAGAGCCAGCCTACCTCCCTAGAGCATCTCCAACAACGATCCAACTCAGACAGGTACATTCTGTGAAGGTCCTGAGGGGCACGATACCACAGAGATATAATCTTATAGTTATTTTCCTGTGTATAAGAGGACATAGATAACTTGTGCGTGTGCAACACTATTTTTAGCAGTCAAATCCTTTAAAAAGCATCTTTGCTGCCCTAATCAGATTCAATCCCTAATTGTATCCAGTTCAGGCTTGGACGTGAAAGGAATACAGGGCACATGGACACTTTTCCTTCTGACACTGCTAACATTGGGTGGTCAGTGAACTCTCAACTGTCCTATAAAAAAATATTCATAATCTTGGGCTGCATAAAGCAAGGAAATTACAGCTACGATTCCCACAATTAAACCAGTATCTAAACCCATCTTCAGCCAAAACATTTTTTAGCATTAGATAGAGAGGGGAACGATGAGCTGTCAGGTTTTTATTGCTCTTTGTGCCCCTATTGAGGTGATTCCCTTCAGGTGCTTGTTGGTATAGGTGGTGGTAAAAATAAAACTCCAATGGGGACACATGTTTTCATTAGAGTAAGGAAGGGATAGCACCCTCAGATAATGATTTTATTGCTGTCTGTGCCTTCATGTCTTGGTGACAACTACACAGTTCAATTATTGTATGGGCATCAAAGGGAGAGGAAGTAAGGAAAAGTCTTCACCATGGTGTCACATATAAAAAAAAACGGACAGAAAGTTGAAGTCTTATCTGCTCTATCCAAAAATAAACTCCAACAAATACATTCTGGTTGTGTTTTTATTTCTGTCTGTGTTTCTACTAGGAAAATGTCCCTAATTATCACATAGCCATAGTTGACTAGAGATCAATACATATTTGACAGAATTTCTATTTAATACCTACTTAATTAACCCCAAAAAAGAAATGCTTGTGAATCATTGTTGAATGGGTGAAGTATTTGAATTCTGTATCAGATCTTATAAAAGTATATACACTTGCCATCTTAAAGCGGAACTTCAGCCTTGCCTTCAGTCTTGCACAATTGTATAGGTTCATCTCCTGTACTGAAATTGCTTTCACTGGACACTCTGGGCTTTTCATGATGTGCTTTAGAAGCTGCAGCAATTTAACTAGAGCCTTATATCCTGACTGGAGGACATCCAGCATCATTTTGCACTTTCCTTCCCAGCCTGACTGTGCCTAGCCCTCCCCTTACATTCACTGGATTTCAGTTCTTTCAGTCATGGAGGCCCGGCATCACATGTGGGCATTACCAAGGGCAGTCTGCATGCAAATACAGCCTGCCTAGTAACACCCACTTCTTCAGACTGACACCCACCCAAAAAGGCATTTTGATATTTGCATAATTCCTCCTAAGAGCCAACCTACTGCTTGCATCAGGTCTGAGGACTGAAAGGAGTACTGAGGTAGGGTGCTGTGATATTTTCAGGAAGCTATGTACAGCACCCTGTCGACCCCTCCCACCAACCATGACCTGCATTGCATAGGGAACCACAGAGTTCATCACTGTGTCTAAAATATGTAATGAAAACAGAATTTGTTAAAATGTGTATTTGCATGTTGTTGAAGAGGGGAGGTATGAACCAATAAAGGCAAAATGTAAGCAGATTTTTATTATGCTTTAAACTGAATTCAAATCCAATACTTTTTTTCACATAAAGAATACTGTGTTTGTCTGCCTGAGAGGAAACTATATACAAGGAGAAGGCTTGAACCCAGGACCCTAGTAATTCTAGCCAAGAGTGCAAAGCAGTTTCACACATAACTGTGTAAAGCACAATAATTCTTCAAATATTTTAACCATTTTATTTTATGTCCTGTATGATTTGTGACAAAAACGTTTTGAATTAATTCCATAAAACATCGTGCTTTACCTTACTATCCTCTTTATCTACCAAGTTAGAGAGAATGTGGCTCCCTCTGTTGGTGGTGTTGGGTCTGATCCTCCTTTACAGATGGCACAGACAGAGTCAGATACTGGAGAATATTACAGACAAATATGTCTTCATCACTGGATGTGATACAGGATTTGGGAACACGGTGGCAAAACAGCTGGATAAACGTGGGATGAAGGTTCTGGCTGCCTGTCTAACCAACGCAGGAGCTAATGACTTAAAGAAGGAATGCTCCAGCAGAGTACAAACCGTGATCTTGGATGTTACAGACAGCCAAAGTGTTAGTTCTGCTGCCGCATGGGTCAAAGGCATTGTTGCAGATAAGGGTAAGTATTTAACATTTATATTATGGTATTATTATTATTATTATATATTATGATGAATATAGTTTTGTTTTTAACATACAAATCAAAATAATAATAAAGTAATTTTGAGCAATACATTTCATGAGATTTTTTTTTAAATACAGTTAAAAAACATCAAGACAATGAGCAATTTATATAATAATAAATAAAAAAAACCCTGAGATCAGGTTTTTACTTGTGTTGACTTATTTTACTTTAATGTTTGGGTAGCTTTGAGTTAGGTATGCATGGCCTTCTAGCATCTGAGTGTCTCTTGATTTGAGGAAAGCTGATTTAAAAAAAAAGCTTAAAGGATTTCTCTGTATTGTTAGAGAACTTATCCTTTTTGCCTAACCCCTTAACAAAAGTTACTTACTTACTACCCCTTACTTACCTGATTTCTAAGGCTGCAGTCCACAGCAATCTTTTAGGCCTCCGCCAAAATGTTCTTGCCCCACTGGCCATGTCTGCCAGTTGGAGAATTTGATTGCTGGTAACTTCTTGTGCTTTCTGACTGTGCTGCATACTTATCAGTTGCATTGTTTCCAGTCATCCCTGTTTTCCCCTCTTTCATGGAGAAGAGGAAAGGACGAGGTTTCTGTTGCCCTGTCCTTTCTCTATGTTCCTGATGCAGCTGGGTGAGTGAGCATTGTCACCCTAGATCAAGAAGTGTGGTACTGGTAGAATCACCAGAAGAAAATAAAGCAATAAGCTAAACTAATACAACAACCACATCTAAGGACTTTTAAACTGCAATATAATTAATTTTGGGTTTAATTATATCTTATCTGTAGCTTCCCTCGAAGTAGAACTGAAGCCAATTTGTTTTGGATAGAGTAAGGGAGGGTTATAACCCCTGTCAGATTATTTTTTTGCCATCTGTGTCCCATTGGGGAGATTTCTCTTCACTTCCTGTCCGATAGCCACGACAAGGAAGTTAGAGGAAATCCCTCCAAAGTTAAGGGAAATCCCTCGTGGTCAGCAGGGTCATCAGAACTGGTTTCCGCATTGGAAGATTTTCCATCTATTCCTGTTCTTGTGACCACCCAAAATTTGTGATTTTCTTTCACTTTTAATAAAGGTCACCAGGACAGATACAGAGGGAGAATCTCCCTAATGGGGACTCAGACAGCAATATAAACCTCACAGACGTTCTAACCTTTCTCCACTCTCTCTCTCTCCACTGAAGTTTTGGCTTCAACAATACTTTAAGGCAGAACTGTTACACTGTACTTTCACTGAAAGTACCTTTGTCCTAAAACTGTGAGCAGAGGTTGTGAACGTTATTTTACTAAAAGCAGAATTCCAGGTTTAAAATATAAATAAAAATAAGTTGCACAGCAGTATTAAACATAAAAGAGCAGATATAAAGGTGAAGATAGGTCCAAACTTGTTCTAAATCCTGAGGGATGGCTAGTCTATTTGAGCGTTTTAAGACTGGCTTCTGTATTTTGCTGCATTTTACACATTTTGCATTTCCATTTGGGGTATTATGCTATCCAAGCACAAGTTATCATTGATGTTTATTGTGGAATACAGCCAACTATATACATTGCTTATGGTGTATCTGTTAAACACGTCACAAAGGGCTGTCCCTATAATGAGGCATCTTGTTGGGTTACGTGGGGGGGTGGGGGCGGCAGGCATAGCGGTATGGGCGCTCTGCTGCACAATGTTTGCAGTGTGCGTGTTGCCCCCTTTCTGGCCAGAGTGTCCCAGGTACTCTTTGTACACGTACCTGTAGCCAGTTTTCTATCCACGTACACACTATTTCATCTATGCCCATAGACCTCAGATTGTGGAGCAAGCCAAGCGTTTGTGCGGTACCGTGTCAAATGCTTTGGAAAAGTCCAGATACACTATGTCCGCCGGCCTCCTTCCATCCAGATCTCTGCTTACCACTTCGTAAAAAGTTAGCAGGTTGGTCTGGCAGGAACGATCCTTCCTAAGTCCATGCTGGTTATCAGTTATTATGCCATGATCCTAAACACTAAGTAGTCCTTAATCATTCCCTCTAACAGTTTGCATACTATGGATGTAAGACTAACTGGTCTGTAGTTCCTGGGTTGGCATCTTGACCCTTTTTTGAATATAGGTACCACATTAACCCTCCGCCTGTCGCTTGGCACTCTACCAGTCATTATGGCCTCCTTAAAAAAGATGAATAATGGTCTTGTTATTACCTGGCTGAGTTCTTTGAGTACCTTGGGGTGTAGATTATCAGGTCCTAATGCTTTATTTGCATTAAGTAGTTTAAGCCTATGTTGTATCCTGGTTTCCGTCAACCAATGAGGTATATTTTCTAATAAACTATGTGTTTTTTCATGTGCATTAAACACGTCTTTTTCCTGAGTGTATACTGAGGAGAAAAAAGTATTTCACTCCTTGTATTTTGTGACTTCCAAAAAAAACTGAAATCCCAGACATATAATATACCCTATAAATTAGTGCAAATAAAATTATTTGTTATTAATTATTTTCTGTTAGCTACACTAATTATGTAAATATTATTATTGTCAACGCTGTGAAAAAAAAAGTGTTTTCTTTTTTTCATTTTTTTTTTAAATAAAGAAATAAGAATTTGTATATCCATATGTCACCTCAAATTAAAGCCCATTTTGACATTTAAAAAAATGGCAAAATTGCTCCAGTCCCCAGGAAAGAAAACCTTTACTGAAGCTGTGTCACTAAGGGGTTAAAGTAGTATTAAACTTTCAAACTTATTTTCAATAATGAATCCAGATCAAATACACATTACCCAGAAAAGTATTTCTTTTAATTTCTGCCCAAGCACTTACCGTTATCATGTTTCCGGACAGCTCCAACTCTCTCAGCTACACTTCCCTGAACTTCCTATTGAGTAGAATATCACAAGGTAGAGCACTGTCTCCAGCAGCTGTCCATCTTGCTAGCTTTAGGAAAGAGAGAAGTGGGGGCAGGAGATTGCAGGAGATTGGCTTGTCTTGTTGTGTCTGCATGTTTTTGGAAAAGTCCATGAACCCATCGCACTCCTGACCGCTCAGTCTATAAACAACTGGCGGGTGCTGTGGTGACTGACGGATGGCACTGTCATATACAGGGATTCAGATAGGACACCAGCATTCCAGATTAGATGTACGTGCAGAATATCACATAAGTGAAACGTTTTGAGGTCGCGCAGGATCCCCTTCCTCGTTCCCAAAAACATGTTTTGCCTGAGGAAGGGGATCCTGCGTGACCCCGAAATGTTGCATCTATGTGATATGCTGCACGTACGTCAATAAAAGATGTTTTCTTCATGTAATTTGGAGTCCTATCAGTCCTATCTGATTCCCTGCAGGTTTTTGGAGACACACAAAGCTTACTAGCACACACAAGGGTGGCTCCATAGGACCCTGCAAGGGAAAGGAGCCACCCTAACGCAGGATATTAGGGCCAGTGCTCCAGGGACCAGCTGATTCAGCAGAAAGCAACAACTTTTAAACCTCAAGAAGCAGCATTTATTGTAAGTGATTTATTCAGCATTTGAAGTAGCCTACACATTTTTGACTTCAACATCTTCCTATGTGATATTCTTGTTTACATGTATTTACAAACGTAGGGTAACAAACATTTTTTTATTGTATCAAGATAATATTTAAAACATACAATAAATGCATGTATACACATAATTAATTGAAAACCTGAAAAGTTATGAACCCATTTAATATATAAATCAGTAGTGGCTCACCTCTATAAGCATTTTATGTCTTTTTTTTTATTCTACCTTAAGAAAAGAATGCTGATGTTGCTTACATGATGTTTTGGGAGGAGTATGGACATTCACCCATTCAAGAGATGCAATTAAACTCCTCCAAACATGGTGAAATGTAATTTATAGTCACATTATCTCCTTCTCTTTCCCCTTGGCAGGTCTTTGGGGTCTAGTGAATAATGCTGGAATCTTAATCCCTTTGGCCCCTAATGAATGGCTGACAAGGGATGATTTTCGCAAGGTACTGGAAGTCAATCTCTTGGGTATGGTAGATGTTACACTCAACCTGCTTCCTTTTATAAGAAAAGCGAAAGGACGCATTGTCAATGTATCTAGTATTGCTGGAAGGGTAACACTGTGTGGAGGTGGCTACTGCTTATCCAAGTATGGCGTAGAAGCTTTTTCTGACAGCTTAAGGTAATTTGTTAAACGTTAAGATATTTACTCTTATGTTTCACATTACAAAATATTTCTTGGTGTGTCTACACACTGGAGTGCTCGCATTTAATTGTCGCCACACGTACATGATAAAGGTGCAAAGTCTAGAGTGCTAGCTATTTATCAGAGCTCTCCACAAGGGGACATGGCTCCGGCAGATAGTGTACTGATGTTGCTTGAACGCCAATAGATATATTTTTATTGGAGACATTGGTTTAAGATTTTTTTTTACATGACAAAAATGTATGATCCCTAGAAAAAAAAATTGTCTGTCCACTAACTGATTATTCTAGCATTCTAACAAGCATGAAACCGAGTATAAAAGCATATTGGTATTTTCTGTATGAAAGCATGTACTTATATTCAAACCTAAACCAAAGTTTTTACTTTTACAGGGCTATTCACAAATGGTGAAGAGTTTGGAGAATGCAGGAGAAGTGAACAATCTAGGCCAAAATGGCTGATTTGGAAAAATTCTCCAATTCAGCTCACTTTCCAGTTCAGCTATGTTGTCCTAGATTGTTTACTTCTTCTGCCTTCTTCAAACTTTTCACCCTTTTGTGAATAACCCTGTTAGTTTTTATTTTTAGACTACCTGTCCACATAAGGTAAATTCATCTCAAAAGGGAAAGGGGAACATGTTTGGAGATATCCCAAGCAAGCTTAACATACCAACTGTGTTTCAGATAGTTAAATGAGAAAGCTATGTAGCCTTGTAATATGGATTTCCATTGCCCTAAAGCAGGGGTCCTCAATCTACGGCCCGCGGGCCAGATCTGGCCCGCCAGGGTCCTTAACCTGACCCACTTGGCCGCACGCCGCTTGCCATAGGCGTCAGGGCCGGGTTAAAGCAGTGCCTGAGGGAGCTGCAGCTCCAGACCCCTACTTTAAAATAGGCCCAGCCGCCCTAAACAACATATAGCATTCCGCCGGCCCCGCCTGGGTGTCGGGGAAGAGACACAGGCCGTTCCAGAAGCCTGACAGCTTCTGTTTTCGGCCTGCGCTGCTGCGCCCTTTCATCTCAGGGCACACGCCATGGTCACGGGACATATGGAAGCCTGGCAAATCAGATGCCAGGCTTCCTTTAGCAGTGTAACGCCAGTGCGGCTGCGACCCTCCAACTTTGGGTGCACGCCAGCACGGGCTCCTGGAGGGCGGCCAATAAGAAGAGAGCTGGGATATGACATGATGTCATCTCCCTGCCTCTCCCAAAGCTGCACGCTGCCGTCGAGAGATAAGGCAGGGCAGTCTACATGCCCATTCATTTTAATAAATAAAAAATACTTGAGCTGTAGAAAATAATAGCAAATCATGTTAGTACATGTGCCAGGCTAAGAAAAATTAATTGTATTAAAAAATGTTTTATTTAATAAAGAAGTTGCTAAAAATATTTACCGTATATACTCGAGTATAAGCCGTCCCGAATATAAGCCGAGACCTAAACATACATTTTTAATTGGTGGATTATAGGTCTTAGACAAAGGCTGTAATTTATTTCATAGATCTAATTTTCCATAATTGTCTTAATGTTTCTCAAAGTTTCAGTGTTTGTTATTTATGTATTTGTAGGAGGGAGCTCAAGCCTTTTGGAGTGAAAGTCTCCATCATTAATCCTGCTTTCTTTAGAACATCAATTCTGAATGCAGAAGTAATAAACAACCGTGTTACAGACATTTGGAACAAACTGCCTCTGAACCTAAAAAATGCCTATGGGGAGAAGTATTTTCAACAATGTAAGTGATACAGACTTGTCATATGTAAAATGTCATTGCGCAAATCCTGTATGATATTAGTTAAAATGTATTACTGTACAAATAATTTTATGGAGAAAAATATAGAAAATGCTTGAAATTAGAAAGGTACTCACAAACAGACAACCTTTGTCTAATATCCTAAAATGTGCCAGGTTTAAATGTCAAGGTCAATGTAACAGAAATTAGTACCCAATCCAAGACATCTTGAAACATGTCCTTGGGACTAAAAAATGTCATCAATCAACCTCTATGGGCAACATCAACAGTTTTTATTTAATGCATAGTGATGTGCAAGGAAAAATATATATATCTTACCAAATTGATAGCATGGAGCAAGTGGACGCATGCAAGCCAGGTCTACAACTTCGATAGTAGTCATCTGTCAGGGAGGACTAGACAAGGGGGCTTAGTCCAGGCTAGTACTAAGATTTATTAAATTGGTGGCCCTAAGTGAAGATACTTCACCATTCAGACATCGACCCGAGTGGGACTCACAGTCAGAGATAAATGCTGTGCATGATATTTACCTATTTTAAACCTAGGATTACAGCAAAGGGAAATCTTCCATGGCCATCTTCTTTTGTGGCTCTGGGATGTCATGGGACTTATTGCTGAGAGTTGCAAGGGAAGCTGATGATATGAAAAGGTCTGTCACAATACATCATGTCCTTTAGTAACACCCACCTTCCACCATGCCCACCAATCAATGAGGTACTAGGGAAGACTTTTGCATGGTACACTTTATTGGTCAACTGAAATTTGTCCGTTCACACATTAATGGTTTTTGCGAGGAAACGCACTAAACAAAAAACAAATTCATTTCAATGTATCGAGTTTACACCTGTATGACGTCCGCTCAAGTGTGATATTCTGGGCAGATTCCGCATGTTCTATCTATAGAAGTAGCTGCAAACGTGCGGAAACCACGCATATGTTAAAATCTGTGTTTTTGCGCTGCACGGAAAACACAAACGCTATGTGAATGGAGCCTCAGGTCTAGTTGATTGTGTTTAATTTTTAGGTCAAAGGTTCCCAGTTCTCCCCTGTAACTTGTTTATATAAAGTCCTACAAAAGTGAGAGGGTGGACCTCAGGCTAAGGATATAAATACTATTAAACAAATAAATTGGTATTTTTATTTTAAAAGGTCTATACATAAGACCTTACTGACAGGCACATGCAGAAGAAAAAGAATAAGGGGGATTTGGATCCAAATTATGCTGATCGGGCTATATAAAGTGTGGCACCAACCTAAAATATAAGCACTATTCACTGATAAAAACAGAGCGCGTACGTCCCCAAATCACAGTTATCAGCGTTTATATTGCTGTTGTTTCCACATATGGGAAAGATTTCTGCCTATTATGCCCCATAGCTCTGAACAACCTACCAGCTTTTCAGGACAGAAACTTATCTCTGGATCACATGCCAATTTAATGTCCCAAGTTGCCCTTGCATAAACGTATTTCATGTCTAGAATCAATAAAGAAGTTGAAATTAGATACTCCCCAGAAAACAATACCCCTGAAGACAGCTTCTAATTGTCAAAAAAGTACATCAGGTGACAGTGGCCTCAGCAGTAGGCTGAATTAACATCTGAATATAGCAGATATGCACTCTGCGTTCCTGTGTGTTTGTTTTTTGTGCATCCCAATTGATATCATTGGGGTCCTGAACGTGCGGCAAATGGAAAAGTAGTGCATGTAGCAAAATCTGTGACATGAGTCCTGTGTTTTTTTATCCGCGCTTTAATGTGCAGAAACATGGAGGAAAAACGTGTGTTTGCTCAGCCACGTTTGGAGTGCCATTAACTGGTAATGACACAGCAAGAGTGTGTCGTGGTTTTTATGCATTTTGCGATTGCGCGTCAAAGCGTGTATCTTTTTCGTGTTTGACACGCTAGCGTGAAGTGCTCAGGTGTAAATGCGGCCTTACTCCTTGATAATCACTTATTGCTAGTTAAAATAGTTAGCATGTTACTGTTATACACAGCTCTGATATCTGGACCACGGAAGATAGTGCACAAAGGTATATTGACATTCTTCCTGGATACTTTTTACTTCATTTTATCTAAGAGAAGTATTTTTTTTTCTTTACAGATTGTAAATTCATTATTAAAATATGTTCCATGACCAACCCAAAAATCACAGTTGTGACAGATTGTATGGAGCATGCCCTAACAGCAGTGCAGCCATGGACACGATATTCTGCTGGCTGGTATGCCAAACTGTTCTATATGCCCTTGTCATATCTCCCCACATTTGTGGGAGATTTTTTTCTTGACTCTTCGCCAGATGTACCCAAATGAGAAACTGTGATCAATGAAGAAGAGTGGTCATAAAATGCTACTGATCCAAGTGAATGGATTCCTTTTGAGGATCTGTTTTTCTTTAACCAATCACAACTTTCTATTAATGTTACATTATAATGGGTGTGTGTGTGTATATATCTATATAATACATATATATATATAAACATTTATGAATAAAACACACTTGAACCATCCCAGTGCCTCCTCTGCATTATTTCCTTGCAATACAGTTTCAGTGTTGTTGTATCCTCAGGGATAGTTGGCATTGGCATTCAGTATTCATCTGAGACTGGAAAAGTAGATCTGCACAAATGCCAATCTTCAATGACAAAGTATGAAGATCAAGGACCCTGCTATGTGATGCAGACTACGAGGACGTCATGTGCAAAAAATGATGGGTAAACCCAATAATGCTTTTTTTCACCACTGCTTGTAATATTATAGTGTTAAAAAAGCAATGATGTTGCAAGAAATGTCTCGAGTGATATAATATCTACGGCAAATAAATATGTGTATTATAAGGTTCATGTATCATACTAAAAAGATGAACAAGAAAAGTGGGACAGCGGGATTTGGTTCCATATAGGCACAGTACCCCTAAAGTGTTGTGTTTGCTGAAGTGGATGTCTCACTGGTAACATGAATTATGTGAAGCAAGTTAAGTTTGCTAGAGTACAGGTCTGACTAGTGGCATGGATACTGGGGATTGAGCTGAGCGTGCTAGAGTGCAGGTCTTACTCGTAACATTAGTATTACGAGGGAGATATTTGTGCTAGAGTTAGGTTTTCGCTGGTTTCCAAAAAAATTGGCTATAGGTACACTTTAAACTAAGTTTACTTTAATGCCCAATGTTAAAACACAAGGCAACAAGCAAATTCATTAAAGTGAAAATAAAGTCAGTGGTTTTTAAGCTATTTCAAATGCTGATGAAGTCACATACAATGGATGCTGCACCCTGATGTACGTTGTATAAAAATGTAGTTTCCTGCAGAATTTGCTGGTCTCTGAGCACTGGCCCTGATATCCTGTTTTATGGCGGCTCCGTTCCCTTGCAGGGTCCTATGGAGCCACCCTTGCGTGTACTAGTAAGCTTTTTGTGTCTACATAAACACACAAGTACAGCAAGGCAACCCACTCCCCTGCTCCTCTTTCCTCCCTTCTCGCTCTTCCCTTCTCCAAGCTCATAGATGGACAGCTGCTGGAGAATGTGTTGTCCATTGTGATCTTTTACTGGACAGGAAGTTCAGGAAAGCGGAGCGGAAAGAATTGGAGGCACATACAATACAACTTTAAGTGAACTGCTGTTCAGAGTTTCAAACTTTAGCAGAAAGTTAGTATTTGCATACAGAGCATCCAGGGTCTGGGAGGTTTGTGCTTCAGTAGCAAAGCTAACTGCTGGATTAATATGTCAGTTTCAGTTTTTTATAAAGGCAAGTTTACTTTGACCACCATATGCCGTATGCATTTCTACTTACATAAAAAGCAACCAGCTCTCTCAAGCAACCGGCAAAATAAAAATCAATAACATGTCCTCGATTTTTTATTTTTTTGCTGGTGGATTGAGGCACAGTAAAAACAATGTCGGTTGCTCGGTGCACAGTACACTAAAAAATGTAGTTAGCAACTGAATAGTTGCTAACGAAACTCTTTGTGCACAGCTTCCTGCCGGTAGGCAGCTAGATCCCGTGGTCGGCAGCAGAATGTAAACAATGGGGAGAAATAGTCAGCCTGCTATTGGCTATTTCAAATTTGAAATAGCCAATAGCAGGCTAGCTATTGCAACCCCACCCACTAAGCGGAGGAGCAGATTGTTCTCGTCAGGTCCACTCCTCTGCTCAGTGGGTGGGGTTTCACTGGCTAGCCTGCTATTGGCTATTTCAAATTGCAATAGATAATAGCAGGCTGGCTATTGTTCCTGCCCACTGAGCAGAGGAGCAGACCTGAGAGAGAACTTTCAGTGGGAGGGGCTACAATAGCCAGCCAGCTATTGCTGTCCAAGATATTCTTTGCTCACATATCTGTATATACCAAACAACCAGCAGTGACAATTCTTATGATAGTGATGTGTATGGGAAGAAAACAAATACCAATATGTGTAAAGTATTTCTTTATTAGCAGCTTATTCCATTGTCCTTTTTAGAAGGACCTTTTTAAGAACTGGTAAGAACAGTAAGTAAACAAACTTAAAGTGACACTAAACTCAGGAGTTATTAAAAATGCATTTGAGTACCTTAACTATCAACAAAAATGTATCATATTTGTGTATCACTCGGCTGTAGATCCTCAAATCATGTCTGAATTCATGCTGACACTGTCTGTCCTTCTGGAGGGGGGCTACTTTGTTCCCCATGGTCCCTGTGTGTGTTGTAAAGTAGTCACCGCTCCAAGTTTACTACCATGATAGACTGCAATCTCACATTTAATTCACTAATTTGTGTTGAGATTGTAGTCCATCTCGGGAGTGAGCTTGGGGCGGTGGCTACTTTTACAACACACACACAGGGACCATGGAGAACAAAAGTAGCCACCGCTCCAAGCTCACTTGGATTGCCAGCAGTAGATATAGGCAAAAAAAAAAGGAGGGTTTAGAACCCCTTTGAGGACTTTGTGTCCTCAATCTCTTTTTCTATTTAAAAAGGGAAATATCAGGGGTCTGTTTAGACCCCTAATATTTCCCCAAAGCCCCTAAAAGTAAAACATAAAAATATTTATTAAAAATGAATAAATAAAAAAATTGAAAAAGTTAGAATAAAAAACATTTTTAATTTCGGCCCGACATTTTTTTTCATGTCGGATTCGTTTCGGTTTTGAAATTGTCATTTCGGTGCACCTCTAATATATTGCCTTTGTTCACCAGGAGCTTTAGAATTAGGCAGCAATAGTGCCCACCCCCCTATTTTATATATAGAAATATCCATACAAGTAGCTTGGGGTTACAGAGGGCACTCATTGCAAATATATTTTTCACAACATAAATATTAAAGCTTTATTGAGATACACACGAATAAAAAATCTCCACTAAAACACATTGGATGTACCACGTACAGTAAAACTTGCAGAGTCTTGGTTGTAATCCTAAAGCTCCTAATCCTTTAAAAGCCTCCAAGTGTTCCTCAGCTTTTGGCGGTATTACAAATGGGACATCATTGTTTGTATATCACAAGGTTATGGGGTTTGTTTTAGGTGTAAGTATTGGTATGACTAATAAAATGCTGCCACCTAGTGTTCATATTAAGCTATAGCGTAAAGTCGTATTAAATTCTCAAACTTTTTTTCAGTAATTAGTCCAGATAAATATACATTGTCCAGAAAAGTATTTCTTGATATTTTTGGCCAAACACTAAGTACCCATTCACACCTAGGCGTCAGCGTTTCCGCGCGTTTTAGGCACGTTTTCCTTTGCACGTTTTTACGTGCTTTTCGCGCGTTTCCCCTAAATAGATGCATGTTTTGGACGTGTTTCTGCATATGGGTGTATTGAGTGTTGTCCAATGAAAAGAAGTCCTGCCCATGACATAATAAACTCCTACACATTAGCCAAGGGGATAACAACATCAGCCTTTCAGCAGCTTTGGAACTACAAGTATTTTTTTTGTGTTGTTTTTTTTAAGCACGTGGAGCGTGCTCGAAAACGAATCCCCTGTGAACAAAAAAAGTGAATCGTGAAATCACAACACAAAAAACATGCACAAGGGTGAAATGAAAGGGCCACAATTTTTCCTGATCCCCCGGGGCGCAAGGCTCCTGACAGGGACAAGAACGACTTAGGTCCTCCAACCCGAAGGCCGGAGGACCCCGATCCTCTGGGACCCCAAGTACTGGGTTGGGGGGCTCTCCCGAAGAGACCCCCCCCCCACAGGTGGGAGAAGGCAGAGGGGCCCCTTTGTGGATCACAGAACCTCCTCCCTAACTTCAGGAAACAGGCCGAAGGTACCTGCACCCTCCGTCAATCTGTGAAAGTCAAGTGCCAAATCGTGCATAAAGTGCCAGTGCACAACGCTGACAGGCCTTAGGAGCCGGAGTGCAAAAATATTGCCCCAGGACTAGCTATATGGCCTGTCCAAGAAGGCGTAGTGCAGAAAAAGCGAGTAGGTGCCGTGTCCATGTGCACAGTGAATCCCTAGTGATTTTCTGGGACGCCTACACCAGTGGGCACAGCACCACGGGCCTCTGCCGCCCCCAGCCCTCCAGCCAGACCAAGCAAGTCTCCGCTCCGTCAGGAGGCATTAGCACCTTAAGGGATTCCAGCCTACAACTGGGGACAAGCCAGTAACCGGACCAGAATCAACCCAGGAGGAAAGGAAAGCCCCTCCAGCACCCACCAATTACACAGGAGAATACAAGCCGCCATCCCTTCCCTGTAAGGGACAGCAACTTGTTTCCCCCGGCAACTGATAAGAACAGATACTACACTTGATCTTAGCCAAAAGGTCAAGAAACTACAAGTCCTGTGATGCATATAAAAGTCTGTACACCCAGAAAACGAAAATCCCCCTGCTGCTTACTGGAGACTAGAAAAAAACGGTTTGTTCAACCAAGAGAGGTTTTGAACATAGTGCAGCTGAATTAGGGGGAGTCGGAGAGTTAATTGGCAATATAAAAGGGTACATTTATTCAAAATACAAGACAAAAAACCATAACACATTAACGGACTACACAGTTGATACCCACTAACCCTACACCTTTAAAAATAACTATTGCAATAATCCATTCGTGCAAAACAACATTCAAGACCTTTTTGGAGCTTGTTGATCAACTTTGATTAGGTAATCTAGTGGTTCTCAATGTTTGAGAAAACAGTGCTGGGAATAAAGTGAATAGTGCAAGATACAACGTATCAGGTGCCTGGGATTACTTGATTGAGTTAATAATTTTCACTCTAACTGCAGACATCTTTTTAAGTTTTGTCCAGTTATAGATAAAGTCCCTAGGAACAGAACTTGGATCTTTATTAGTTCTTTAACTGGATCCCACAGATATCGCTAGAACAAAAACTTGATTGAAGGAATCTTACTAAGACACTTTAAAGTATAAAAGTGGACCCGGGAAAATACCGTATTTTTCAGTCCATAAGACGCACCGGACCATAGGACGCAGGGAGGTCCGGCGCGCCTTATGGAGCACTCGAGACTGTAGCTTCTGTGACAGCTTCTATGACAGGCTCAAATGCTTTTTAAGAGGGGTTGATGAATCCAAGTTTCAACTTAATTCAAGTCCGTTTATGCCGTTTTGTCGGCATAGGTAATTTCCTAGTCTCGCTGTTTTAGATCAACCACTGTCATGTCGATAATGTGATGTATCAGACAAGCATCCTGCAGTGGATGACGCGTTTCGCCCCTCCTCCGTTTCTTGGGGCTTCGTCAGATCCTAATGGGTAATCAGTTGATGAGGTTTTTATCCTTTTCATCACGTGTTTACTGTTAACCCTTTTGGTGTCATGAATAGTTGGGCACGAAGAAACCCTTTCTCACATTATACATTTGTATATTAACTTTCTAAAAATATATCAAACAGAAGGGAGGTAATCAAGAGAAAAGAGCAAGCACGATCATGCACAGCTGTCATTTTCGTTTTATCATCTGTACTGTTTCAAAGTTGCGGGTATTGTTAAACACTGTTCAGGATGATGCTTGCTCTAACGAGTAGTTTAGCCAAATTACTGGATGAATTCTTTTCCTATATCCCATGCTCTAGGTATTGGAATTATCAGGTGTGTTTTAGTGAATGACATAACTCCAAATAAATATCACTCAACGAGTATTCTCAATTGAATTGCCAGCCGGTACTCCATTTATATCAGATGGTTGAGTGTGAGCTCAGTACTTTCTTTTAATTTTTGTTTTAACAAAGATGGTTGAACACTTACATTAACTTATGTATGGGAGTGAGAGAAGGAATCTTTGTAATGTTTGTAGGGGCCGCAGGGACACAGGCTAGAGGAATGCCTGTAAATTGCACTCATTGTCCAGTCCATGAGGTGTCATGGTCTTTAACTTAAAGATCCACATTTTTTTCTTTCTGTAATAGGATCTTATTAAAATCTCCTCTACGTGCTGAAAGTTTGAGTGCATATATTCCCCTAACCTGTATTCCCGCGGTCCTACCTGCATGATACTTCAAGAAATGCTGTGCCAGTGGGCTGAGTTGCGCAGGTCATACAGGCATGATTGTGCCTGTATTAGACTTATAAATGCCTCAGAATCAACATTTTTCAGACATGAATCAGCCATTTTGTTTCCCAGTGTGCTTTGCAGGTGATCTTCCACAATGTATATGCGCCTTAAAAACGTGCGTTCTTAAAAACGCACGAAAACCCCACACGTGCGTTTTTGGCGCGTTTTCCATTGAAATCTACGGAGCACAAACATGCTGACTCTGCCTGAAGGAAGCTCATGCATCTTTTCCAGCGTTTTTACAGCTTGCTGCTAAACTCTCAGGTGTGAACAGGGGCCATAGAAATGAATAGGAATTCTTATGTTGTGTGTTTTGACGCTTAAAAGGAGAACTATGGGGTCAGTGTTTTTCCCCATAGTTCTCCTTAGGGTAACGGGAGGACACAAACTAGCGTCCTCCCGTTACCCTAAGCTCAGTATACCACGAGCTACAGCTTGCGGTATACTGAGACGCTCCTGGCGTAGATGACGGGATCCGCCCAGCTGCGTGAGTGACAGCTGGCTCTGCCTATCTAGAGGCATAGCCAGCTGTACCCGCCCCCGTCCGTTCCGCCAGTCAGCTCTGGCAGATGGGAGAGGGGAATCCAGCCCCTCCCCCTGTCACGGCAGAGAGCCGTGACAGGATCGAGAGGTGAGGGAACCTGGTATGTGTTCGCTCACCTCCCGATCTACTGAGCCGACCTGTGACAGTCTCATTGTCACAGGTCGGCTAGAACTATGAGGTGAGTGAAAAGCACTCGCCTCATAGTTCTCCTTTTAAGATTTCAGCATCAAACCGCCCAGGTGAACAGGGACTAAGGCTCCATTCACATATAGCGTTTGTGTTTCCCATGCAGAAGACCGCACAGCACAAAAACGCTAAATTCTTTACATCTGCACGGATTCCGCTTGTTTGCGGCTATTACTATAGCCGCGAACGTGCGGAATCCGCCCCTGAAATCATGCTTGGACTATTTTGCGGGACATGCGGTTTTGAACCGCGTGGTCCCCGCAATAGTCTGAACAATGCACATTATAATGCATTGTTTTTTATGTTCAGAGCGGTTCCTTGTGTATTCGTACGGTCAAATGCGATCGGAAAACCATTCATGTGTGAATGGAGGCTTACAGCCATCATAATTCCAAACAGCTGACTCCAACTCTCTCAACTCAGCTTCTCTTAACTTTCTGTCCAGTACAAGATCACAGGGGACAGAGCAGTTTGTCCATCTACCAGCCTGGAGAAGGGAGGAGAAAGAAGGAAGAATGAATGGGGAGCAGGGAGGAGGGGGAAAGATTGACTTGCTGTGCTTGTGTGTTTGTGGAGGCACACAGCTTATCAGCACACACAAGGGTGGCTCCAAAGCACCCTGCAAGGGAAAGGCACCACCCTAAAACAGGATCTCAGAACCAGGGCTCAGGGGACCAGCTGATTCTGCAGGAAGTTAAAACATTTAAACATCAAGAAGCAGCATGTCATGTAAGTGATTTAACAAGCATTTAAAATAACTTTAAAAAAAAAAAATTTTTAACCCTTGCAGTTGGGCTAACCCACTCACTCGAAGCTCTGAGCCAGCTTGTTCTTGTACCGGTCCTTCCAGTATCTCTCCCCCTCCACTGCAGCGGCCTAAGATCCCGTAAATCATCAACGTCCATACACTGTGAGGGGGATTTATCAAAACTGGAGCAGACAGAATCTGAAGCAGTTGTCTATGGCAACCAATCAGCACCCACCTTTCATTTTCAAACCTTAACTGAACAAACTGAAGAGCGATGCTGATTGGTTGCCATAGGCAACTACTCCAGATTCTTCTGCTCCAGTTTTGATAGAATCTGTCCCGGCTGATAGAATCTGTGACAGCTGGCCGGCACAGAGCTTCGGGTGAGTAAATGTTTGTTATTTTTGTCCCTGAACACAAACCAGTACAGGGGGAGCCCCACTGCAAGGTTTAATAAGCTTCCGCAGCCGACAGGTGAATGTAAGCAGCCAGGAGCAATAGCCAGACTGAGAGGCGTAACTAGAACCTTCAGGGTCCCGATGCAAGAAACCATGAAGGCCCCCCCCCCCAGTGGCTGTGCGACAAAGAAGGAGCGGCACGATCGCGGGGGGGCCCTCTACTTCCTTGCTGGCCCCCCCAAGTGGCGGAACGCCAGGGCCCGGTCGCAATTGCGACCGCTGCAACCCTGGTAGTTCCGCCAGTGGCCAGACTGCCACTGGCTATTTCAAATCACAATAGCAGGCTGGCTATTGTAACCCCACCCACTGAGTAGAATGTGGGCGGTGTTCACGTTCAGGTCCGCTCAGTGAGCAGGTACGATAGCCAGGCCTGCTATTGGTTATTGCAATTTGAAATAGCCAGTAGCAGGCTGGATTTCTCGCCATTGTTTACATTCTGCTGCTGACACCGGAATCCGGCCTCCGGCAGGCAGCAAAGAGTTTCCTTAGCAACAAAAAAGCAACCGACCATTTTCTATTGTGCATCAAGCCACTGGCATATAAAAATTAAGGACATATTAAGGCTGGGTATGAGCTCACCTCTTTGAACTTTGCTCTCTTCTCCTATCAGCATGTCCTTTGTTAGCACATGAGCACTGCAGCATAACTGATTGGCTCATATTGTTGCTTCGCCCTATCACTTAGGTGATGCCAAGTCATATTCAGGTAATTATAGTGCCTGGAGTTCAACTTTAAAGCGTACATTCACACTAGAATAAAACTGTGAAGCAGTCTGCCCCTCCCCATTTAAAAAATGCAGTTTATCCCTGATACTGAACTATTCCGATTCCTACAAATACAACATTGGCTGTCTTCACTACAAAAATGAAGAACCCCAAATAGACCACTTACTTGTTTTGAACATGTGTGCCTCCATTCACCTGGTGGACCCAAATTGGTGTCAATCCTATACTCTAAACATAATTCCCTGAGGCATCTTAATCTGCACTCTTACCCCGCTAAATGGGCTATAAACCTTAAAGGAGAACTATGGGGTTAAGGCTTTTCCCCATAGTTCTCCTTAGGGTAACGGGAGGACTCAAACTAGCGTCCTCCCGTAACCCTAAGCTCAGTATACCGCGAGCTACGGCTCGCGGTATACTGAGACGCCGCAGCTGAAGCGGATCCCGACCGACAATTATGTCTGGATCTGCCCAGCTGTGTGAGTTACAGCTGGCTCTGCCTATCTAGAGGCAGAGCCAGCTGTACCCGCCCCCTCCCCCATCCGATCCGCCAGTCAGCACTGGCGGAGCGGAGAGGGGGGAATCCAGCCCCTCCCCTGTCACGGCAGAGAGCTGTGACAGGATGGAGAGGTGAGCGAACGCCGGTATGTGTTCGCTCACCTCCCGATCTACTGAGCCGACCTGTGACAGTCTCATTGTCACAGGTCGGCTAGAACTATGAGGTGAGTGAAAAGCAATCACCTCATAGTTCTCCTTTAACCTCAATTGGACTGAGGAAGATTGGGAAAAGGTGTGGAGAAATATCTCTCGATGCTCCCTTAATGTCAGTAATCTGGAGGTGGCCTATAAGGTAATGTTTTGCTGGTACCTAGTCCCTACCCGTCTAGCTAAAATATTTCCAACCTCGTCCGCTGTCTGCTTCCGCGGGAGCACCCTCCCTGGAGACATGCTCCACATTTGGTGGACTTGTCCATTAGCCTCACGTTTCTGGACTAGAATTTATCGTCTGCTATCCTGTCTATTTGACACCCATATTCCTAAGGATCCCACACAGGCTCTGTTACACGCCACAGTGCCTGGTTTAACCACATCCCAAGGCTCCATAGCATCATAATATAAAAAACCAACAGACTGCATAGGAATGAATATCTAGGCTGTTAACGGCTATTTCAATTTGCAATAGCCAATAGCAGGCTGGCTATTGCACCCGCCCACTGCTGCTGTCAATCAGCAGAGGAGGACCTGATGGAGAACTTCATGTCCACCTCTGCTGATTGACAACAGCAGAGGGCGGGTGCAATAGCCGGCCTGCTATTGCAAAGTGAAATAGCCAATAGCAATCTAGCTATTCATTTCCATGCCTTTTTTTTTTTTTTACTCTGCCGGCGACCTTGATGTTTGATTAAAAAAACAAAACAAATAGACAGCAGGGAAAAGTTTACTGTGCTAGATAGAGTAAAATGTTTCTCTCCCGGGTGTCCGGGAGCCGATATCTTGTAGTGGGGCTACCTCAGCACTGCAAGGGTTAACGGCTCAAATAAAAAAACTATTCTCATCTGATCCTCGGTCCTGTCGGGCTGCTAGAACGTTCCCGGGCTCTGCGGGTCTAAGCCATGCTGATGTCATCACATCTAATACAGGTCCATTTGCCTAAATGAGGGCATGGGAGGACATTCCATAGCTGGAGCAGAGAAAGGCAAGCACTCACAGCAGCAGGACTGAGGTTAAGGTGAGTATATTTTCTGTATTCCAGCCCCTAGGCCAGCAGTTCTCAACCTGTGGGTCGCGACCCCATCGGGGGTCGAATGACGATTCGCCAGGGGTCGCCCGGGAGTCTCCTGATATTAGATAGCGGCTCCAGGCCGCCCGGGAGAGAAGCACTTTCTCCCGGAAAGGTTTACTCTGCTCGATCGAGCAGAGTAAACCTTTCCCTGCAATCGTTTTTTTTTTTTCTGACATCGGGGGCCGTCGACCGCCGTAAGTCAGAAAAAAAAAAACACCATAGGAATGCATGGCTAGATTCCTATTGGCTATTTCACTTTGCAATAGCCAATAGCAAACTAGCTATTGCACTCGCCCTCTGCTGCTGCCAATCAACAGAAGGGGACCTGAGATTCTCCATCAGGTCCTTTTCTAGTGATTGACAGCAGCAGAAGGCAGGTGCAATAGCTAGTTTGCTATTGCAAAGTGAAATAGCCAATAGGAATCTAGCTATGGTTTAGGGGGTGGGGTGTAGCTGCACCGCAATTAGGGTTGCCACCTGTCCAGGATTCACCCGGACTGTCTGGGTTTTGAATGCTGTGTTCGGGTTTCATGACAGCAGAAACTTGGACACAAGATGTCAGACAGACAGGGGCAACCAAAATGAAGATAGGGGCTTACATATGAATGGGTGGCGCTACTTACATATGCATGTCCATGTCCGCACGTTGCTAGAGTGTGTTCGGGTTTCGCTTGAAGAAAAGGTGCCAACCCCAACTGCAATGGTTAATTATTTCTCTATATATAAGAAAACCTGTTACTTTATCCTGCATGGGCTATTCACACGATCACTTCAATATCGTGGTACTAAATAAGGGCAGCTGGTTCTTTTTATGAATCCATAACAACCACTTCCGTCTCATTGTCACATGGCAACTGACTACTATACTCTTCCAGAGACCACACAAGCCCCGCCCACGCCACCACCAAGAACTCGCTCTGTGACTCCGCCCACGCCGCCGGAAGTGACGCACGGGGCTCGGGCACACTGGCCGGTTATGGCGGTGACGTAGTGTGGGGAGTTCGGTGTTGTGATTGGTTGTTCTTTTCCCGCGCACTTTGTGTTGTTGCTGTCAGGCTCCCGAGTTGCTCTGTGTCACGTCATGGACTTGTCGGTGTATGATTCCGCCGGCCTGCCGGACCTGTTGCCTCTCTACTACCGGAGGCTCTTCCCCTTCTACCAGTACTACAGATGGCTCAGCTACGGGGGCGGTGAGCACATAATGGGGGTCGTCTGTCATACTATTGTCATGTGCATGGCCCTCTGATCTCTTCACATGAAAGCACAGATCTCTGCTGACTGTTCTCTATCGCTGCTTTCTACATGTCAAGCTCTGCACTACATGTAAATCAGTCCTGTTATAGTTGTACTCACTCCTGTATGCATTGTTCTCCTAAAATTCTATTTGATCACTTTTTAGCATTATCTAGTCTTTACAGGTTTCTTGTTGGTAATTGTGTTTGTGGGCGACCGTTGTGTGCGCTGATATTCTGTGTGTATCTCATGTCATTCCTCAGCACTGGTGACTTTGCATTGTATTCTGTCTGAGGTTTACAGGAAAAGTCTGCCCTTTGTGAGCAGAACTTTCAGTGAATGTTCCTAAAGCCCGACTCCGGCTAAAACATTGTTGTCTGTGGACGGAGTGGGATGAGAAAAGCTGTCCATGTAGGGTACAATCTCAATTAGTTTTATCTAATGTTAAATGAGGACACTTCTATACGATTCACTCCCTTTACCATTCATGTTTGTCACCTCAACACAATTCCCAAAATCCAGTGTACCCATCGCACTCCTGACCAAATAATACCCCTAGAGATGGGTGGGGCTGCCAAAGTAACTGCAGATGTTTGCCTGAAGAAGAAACCGCTGTTGTTCCGAAACGTCGCTATATGATGTGATAGCAATCGAGTCAATAAACCGTTTTTGACTTGAAATTCTATTGGAGTGCAAGTGACTTTATACATACACTCAACACAATGCCCACACGTGAGCCATCTGTGTATTGTGATGCATGTCCACTTTTATCGCATTGTAGTTGCATTAAAGTGACATTAAAGTCTAATTTTGTTTCACATAAATAGCAAGCCGTAGATATATGCAAAAACATTTGTCACATTTAAGAAAAAATAAAGTTACCAAATAGGTAAGAACTTACCTGTGTCTGTGCTGCTTGCTCCCGGCTGTAGAACACAGCTTCCGAACGGCTGTGCAGGAGGATGAGTGCAGGCGCATGTGCAGTTCATATCACCAGAGGGGAGAGACGCAGTGAAAATGAATGCACGCAGAAGGGAGCATGCACATCGGACAGACACCGTGGGACACAGAACACACAGCAGCCTGCGATGAATTGGAGACCAGCACCAGCGCTGGAGGGACTCCTGAAAACAAGTGGAAGAAAGAAGATGATCGGATTAAGACGCATCATTTAAGGTAAGTCCTTAAAGCAGCATGGGGGAAGGGGGGATGAAGATGCGACCTCAGTACAAAGCTCTATGAATCCTGCAGCACTATAGCCTTCCATCAACAGATATAAGTGATGATTTGCGGGGAAAAGGCAGTGCTGGTTATGGCAGCTGGTGATTTTACAGCAAAGTCAGTGTTAAACTTGCTGAACTCCAGTATAATTATTGTGCCCAGAGTTGGGCATTAATATCATAAAAAGGAAATGACGATAAGATAACAGCTTTTCAGTGGAGTAGAGAATTGGAACCTCGTCAAATATGTATTCCTTGAAGTTGCAACAGAATTCTGACAGAGATTCCAATGCACTTCTACTTGTCTGCAAATATATTTTCTACCAAGGTTTGAACTGGTCCTGCTTATACTACATGTGCTAACAATGTGACAGATCTACTCACAAAATGTCCTGGAGGTTTGTGCTATTTTTGGAGGCAGGGGGTCAAGTAGTATAACCAGGAAAAACTGATACTTATTTTTTTTTAAAGAAGTTGATTGACCTTTTTCTGGGTGTTCTTTCAGTTGTGAAAAACTACTTTGTGCACCGAGAGTTCAGCTTCACCCTAAAAGATGACATATATGTACGATATCAGTCCTTCAACAACCAGAGCGAGCTGGAGAAAGAAATGCAGAAGATGAATCCTTACAAAATCGACATTGGAGCCGTGTACTCCCACAAGGTGACCACTGTAACAGCTATGCAGGATATACTCTTCATCTTTATGTAACTTCACAACATTTCTCTTTTACAACTTATTGATTTATCTTGCTGTTTATTTTGGATGATTACATGTTTTTTTGTCTGTTTTTATTCTAGCTCTCTCGCTAATTTGTTCTTTACATTCATTTATTGTAATGCCACTTTACCTTTCTGCCTTCTAATATACACATGATGAGGGCACTCTTGAGCAACATTTTTAGGAAACAATCTGTTACTATAAGTGTATTATATATTGATAGTGTATTTAAGTTCTGAAATGCAGAGAGATACAATATTCGATGTTTTCAATCAAATTTGGGAAAACCCTATTATATGTTTGTGTTTCCAATCACACAGGATACCTAAAATGTAAAAGAAATAGCTCTTACTTTTAGATACAGTATGTCCCTCTACACATCGCAAGCTACTATGCATTATTGCATTATTATTAATCATTTGAAAAGGAGTCTGTCCCCATAGCAAAACCAGGGACAAACTGGGTTTCCTTCCATTAACATACAAGCTTCTAGATATTTAACCCTTTATGATAGACAGTGTTCAAATCTAGTTTACAATTGATAATGAGATCTTCCAGCACAGTACAGATAGGGTTCACCATGGTAAACATTAACTCCACAGCCCCCTCCTTACCATAAATAGGGGGGAATCTAGCTAAGCAAGAGAAAATCCCTTTTTGAAAGCAGCAATTTTTCAATATTTTGTAAGTAATTTTATGCAAATGGGATAAAAAAATAACGTAGGTATAACAATTTGGCTGCTAAGTGGAACTGCCTTTTAAAGCCAAAACTTAAATATACTATTCCTTAACTCCTCTAATAAGCTCTGGGAGACAAAGGAAATGCTTGGTACTTTCAGGTATAAAGAAGCATGTGATGCACTCCATGGGCCAATCGGCAGTATCACATGGTGAGGTCATATAGTCTGATAGTTGTCTGGCTGCAGTGCTCTGTCTTCAGTTCTGTTTCAGTTGATGACCTAGACAAGTATGTAGAATGGGAAAATCAGAAGGCCTTATCTCCATCAGTGACTAAAAGCACTGAAGCAAACAGAGCAGCCAGGAAACTAGCATTTTCAGAGAGGTCAGCAGTGTCATCCTCGGAGTTTCTCTATTACGATAATTTTCTTATAAAAGTTTACAAAATGTGTCTTGTTTGGCACTTTCTGCTTTGCTACAGACAGTTTTTTGCTCCCCCATCACTCTCTTTAGTACTCACCTGTGTCATGTGGGTCTTGGCTGTATGGAAGTCTAAGGAGATGTCTTTTTATGAATATATAATTGGTGATTGTGACATGTCTCGCATCCCTGTAAGCATTAATGTAGATGCTTGATATGCTGATATCTCTGTGTGAGAAGTTTCATTCCTTTTATAACACTAATACAATCCATTTAGCTTTCTAATATCAATAGCTGTATATGCATTGGTCCTTGGTTAAAAAGTGTGTGTGTGTGTGTGTGTGTGTGTGTGTGTGTGTGTGTGTGTGTGTGTGTGTACGGACAAGTTTAAATTCATATGTAAATATAGGTTTTTGAATTGCTCTCCACAGCCCAGCATGCACAACTCTGTGAAATCGGGTACATTTCAAGCACAAGAGAAGGAGTTGGTGTTTGATATTGATATGACAGATTACGATGATGTTCGGAGATGCTGCAGGTAAATGCTATTTTCTCCTGTTTTACAAAACTGTGATACCACAATTAAAAAAACATAAATTTGAGCCATGTTCATAGGTGTATTCTGTGATCCATACAGTGCAACAAGTCTCTCAGCTGCACATATTCTGCTTGAGGTGACAACTCTCCCCATCCGTGTGCGACACCAATAACACTGACCAGATAGGGTAGACCATTATAAAGAAAATTGTCATAAAGCGCTCATTCAAGTGTTAATAACCACTTCCAATCCCTCCACTGGAATGCTGTACACAGCAGCTCTTAGTTTTGCATTTAGTTTTTAGAGGAGAGATTAGGAGCTCGGATCTTTAGGACAAGCATAACAATGTTGATATTAAAACTAGGAAGAGTAAGACTCGATCAAGCGTACACAAATATTTCTGGACTTTATGGGCCATGCCTTCTCCTCACCTCGGTTGGATCATAGGTCTTTGGTTTCGGTGCCAATATATGAACCTTTAGTTAAAAGGATTGAACCCTGTATAAAGACAGTACAGGTGTGCAGCGAGGAGGCCGTGTCTTCATTGAAGGACTTTTTTTTTTTTTTTTATTATTATGGAGTAGGACTGTCCCGATGCCACTTTAAGACCAAGTACTTGCTGATACCAATTACCGCTACTTTTTCTTAAAGGGATACGGTATGTGAAATTTTTTCTAAAACAACACAGACTGATGATTTTAGGGCAGTTTCTCACCAGAGTGAACTAAAGATGTCACCAGAAACGAATACAGATGTCACCAGAGCAGAATACATGCCCCCACAGCAGAATACATCTCACTAGGTTGCGTGCGATCTCACCCAGGCGACATGTGGATCTCTGCAGGGCTTTTTCAGCAGTTCCTATGCTGTGGAGTGTGCCGGTGGCTGTACTGTGCTGGTGAGGCTGTGGAAGGTGGAGGAGATCTACAACCAGACAGGCACTGCCATGGGCGGCTACATGCAGGTCCCCAGCAGGCTGCCGAGGTCCCCACAAGTACTCGTGGAAATGCCTGGTATACTAGTATCAGGACATACCTAGTTTTGAGGATACTGCATGGGATATTTTTGAGAATCAGGATGTGGTCGAATATACCTCCTGCGGTTTGCGGAAATGTCAGTTAAAGCGGATATTGCAGATGACTGATGTTGGGAAAGCATCACGGCCAAACTTATTAAAGGCCTGTGCTAGTCAGTTATCTGTGGTACTGACTGAGATTTTTAACTTGTCGTTGCTGTAGCGCAAAGTGCCCAATAGGTTTAAAACAACTGTTATTAAACCTATACTTGAGATGTTTAGTTATCACATGGTTAAATGATCAATGGCAGATTACATTCACATTGGTAGTTATGAAATGCTTTGAAAGAATCGTGCAGGATTATATCAAGGCCAGCTTGCCTCCTGGATTTGACCAATGGCAGTTGCAGTTTCCTTGGCACTTCATGCAGCCCCTGGTCACTTATGTGAAGGTACTATTTGTAGATTTTAGTTCTGCCTTTAATATCCTAGATCCTAATAAATTGTATAGGAAAGTGCTGGAATTAAATCTTGATACTGCATTATTTTTGTGGATTAGGGATTTTTTGATAAACAGGCTGCAAATGGTGATAGTGAGCGATCGTGTCTCGGCCAGTACTATCGTGAGTACGGGAGTACCACAGGGCTTTGTTCTTAGGCTCCATTCACACATAGCAGCATCGGTTTCCGTATGGTAAATCATGCGTAGCAAAACCACCCAAGATTTAACATACTTGCGGATTCCGCGCGTTTGCGGCTATACTATAGCAGTGAATGTGCGAAATCTGCCCCTGAAATCGTGCTTGGACTATTTTGCGGGACGCGCGGTTTTGTACCATTCGTTCCCCGCAATAGTCTAAACAATACACATTAAAATGCAATTGTTTTTTTATCTTCTGATTGGATGCAGACTTTGATCAGGTATTTTGAGAGCCATTGAGGCCGACTAGCAAGATACTAAAGCTTGGCCCAGCGGGAGATTCCTCCATCCACACAGTTTAGCATAAATGGAGGAATCTGTTGCACTTTTTCCATCTGACCATAGAAAATCTGCAGATTTTCTATCTATAAGTGTATGGCCATCTTAAGAGTGGTTTGAGATAAACTATTTGGCATTGCATGCAGGTCACAGCGTAATACAATCTTATCTTATGATGATGGCAAAAAAACTGGTAAGTTCCCTTGCGCATGGTTTGATATTTCAAAGTCATTACAGATTTACCGTATTTATTAACATACAGTTTGCTAAGTATACAACCTTTACTTGGTAAATCCCACTGTGTAGCATTGCAATGACTGTGCAGTACTGAGCTTTAGATAACATGATATTCGGGTACAGCAGTACATATTTGCTTACTAGGTTTGTGAAGAAAAGTACTTTAAAATCCACCCTGTTGTGGACAGACTTGCACCAACTTTTGCAATCTTACATTGAACGCAGATGTTGGAGATCATCATTTAATGTTTGTCACAACGACCATTTTGAGGTGACTTTTACTTTAATGATCAGTTATATACCTTAACCGGCTTTCTGGTGTTCCAGTTCTGCAGATATATGCAATAAGTGCTGGACTCTGATGACCATTGCCATGCGAATCCTGGATAGAGCACTAGCAGGTAAGCACATAAGTAGTCTTGTCTGATGCAAGATGTTTTACAGTAGACGGATAAGTAAACATGTTTTGAGTATTACTGTATTTTACACACTGCTCCTTGCATCACCTTAAAATATATACACTGTGCTATATGTGGGGGGTTGTTTTTGGTTTTAGCAGTTCTATATTTTTGGTAATACAACTGATCAACCACATATTCTATTATACAGGTATGTGTGTGTGTGTTTATAGCCTGTTGAAATGCTTTCTCTTAGGGCTCAGTCTAAGTTTTCAGTCCATCAAACTGAGCCACAAAGCAGGCATTGGTGTCCTGTCGTTTTTAGCTAATCCATAGTGTCCTGTATTAAATGTTTGTAAAACAAATAAAATAAGTGTTTTAATGTGTACACTTAGAAGAAAGCTACATTTGTATTCAAAACAATTGGTTGCTTATTAACGTGGAAACTTTTTCTTCTAATTGCTATAATTCTATGTTTTTGTTTTTTTTTTAGATGATTTTGGGTTCCGTCATCGATTATGGGTATACTCAGGCAGAAGAGGAGTCCATTGCTGGGTGTGTGATGAGGCTGCCAGGAAGCTCTCCCAGGCTGAAAGATCTGCTGTAGCAGAATATTTGAGTGTGGTGAAGGTAGAGTATATATTGTGATCATCTGTAGCCACGGTTGCAATTGGAAATTTGTTTCTCAGATTAGTTAGCCTAAAATGGCCGTAGATATGAATAAAGTCAGATTAGGCAAAGATGCATCTCTGTAGTGTTGGCAGATACGTGCTGGACAACCACATTCCAAAAAAAAAAAAGGTTACTGTTATCTTTCGAGACATGTGGAGCCAGGACCATTTTCCTACTTCTCTTTTTGTTTCCTAAACACGTGCACTCGGCTTGGCCAAGCCAATCAGATCTCTGACAGTTTAGGGTTCTTTCACATGTGCGTTGAGAATTTAATAAAAGAGCAATGCTGATTACCACGCCTATAGTGTTAAGGCATTCAGCAGGCATTTTCAAGGCATTACGGAGGCGTCAAAAATGCTTGCAAAATGTCCTGCAAGTAGGGGAGTGAAGGGGAAGTGACCAGCTTTGGTACTTTAGTAGAGGCATTTGTCCAGCGGCATGCACTCTATTTTTGTTACAACGCTAACGCCCATGTGTTAACTGTAGAGCTGCAGCTAACGATTATTTTCAAAATCGATTAGTTAAATTGCTTTGTCCCGCAGAGACGCTTTAAAAATACTTCTCTAATGCCTGATTGAAATAGACGCGTGAAAGAGGCCTTACTGTGGTCTTGCATTTCCAATGGCCTCCTTTAGAGTTAAAGTATAGCATGTTTTCAGTGAGCACAAACCTTGTTGTTATTTAGGTGTTTACCTTAAAATGATATTAAAGTTGAAATGTTTTTTAGATGCTGATTAACTCACTTACAGTAAATGCTGCTCCCTGATGTTAAAAGGTTTTTTGTTTCCCCCTAGATTCAGCTAATCCCCTGAGCACTGGCCTAATATTCTGTTCTAGGGTGGCTCTTTTATTTTGCAAGGTTCCTTTGGAGCCACCCTTGTGCATGATAGTAAAATGTGTGTTGCTGCTAATTTATGGCTTTCTGTGACTTTCTTTTTGTGATATTTAATTATCTCTTTAGGGAGGTGAAGAGACCATAAAGAAGGTTCAGCTCTTCGATCCCATTCACCCATTTATAAAGTACGTTTTACTAGCTATTGATGCTGCCATTTGTTTAACTGCATGTGTTTTGATTTTTCTTTTTTTGTAATAACTTTTTTAAATATATTTGTAAGGTTTTAGGTAATTTCTGTGTCAAAATTGTTGAATTATGTAACTACGGCTATGTATCTGCTTTAAAATGAAAGACGCAAGCTTTCCCCCTAGACACAAAATGTTCTTGTCTCATGTTATCTAGTTGGAACTTTACTTTAGTAAACATTTTGTCAAGTGCAAGGCTAAAATCTGGACATCTTCTGCATATTGCTTTATTTTTTTCCGCTTTAGCTGTAGTCAGGGCTGCAACTAGCTAATCGATTAAGCAATAATATTTGATTATGATAATAGTTGTCAACTATTCTTATTATCGATTAGTTGGTTGGATCCCCTGGCTCTCTCCTCCAAGCTGGGAGGAGGTCACAGCAAGCAGTGGGTGGGTGCAGTAGCTAGCCTGCTATTGCAATTTGAAATAGCCAATAGCAGACTGGCTATTGCACCAGCCCACTACCTGCTGTATTTACATTCAGCTGGCATCTGCAGAATCTTGCACCGGCTGCTGTCATTCCCTGGCTGAGGCTATTTAACCACCGTGTGCTTAAAAAAACAATTATTTACAAAAAATTTTTTTATAAAAGGTGGGGGAAAAAAAGTTGGTTTCGGCCTGACAAATTATGCTGTGGGAGATGCATTGCAGTGCCATTCATTTCTTTTTAAATCAAAGATTTTTATTGATTTTAACGTAACATGACACTTTTGCTAAGACAGTGGAGACATGTGGTTACAACGTACAGCACGCAGTGCATGGGAGTACATAAAGCGTTGGGATAGGCACTGCTCTAGAGTTAAACACAATAATAGTTATTGCTGGTGCAATAGGCTCGCCCGTCGAGTTGTTCAAGTTAGTGACAGGTTCCACCCGAATACTGAGGGGCCTGGCCAACTGACGGGGTTAAACAGAGGGAGTTGTTCCTTTGCGAGGCACTGCATAACAGGACCGCCGTTCGTGCTGTGAGAGAGCGCACTGAACCACTGCAAACGTCAACCATGAAAGATCGCGCCCAAGAAGGGCAGTTGGAGAGAGACAGAGAAAGAAAGGAGAAAGATTAGAGAAGAACGGGCAGTGCCATTCATTTCAATGGCACCCCAAACACACCTCCCACCCACAGTGTGATCGACTGCACTGGAACGCACGGTACCGCGATGCTGTGCGTTCCAGTTCAGTGCATGCAGTTTTATTCTGAAGTAAACGTTTGTAACACACATTTGTGTATTATCTTAAATTTAAGGATGATATTTAATTTTTTTTAAATCCGATTAATCGGAAAAAAAATCGTCTAATCGATTATGAAAATAATCATTAGTTGCAGCCCTAGTTGTAGTTTTAGCAGAGCTTTGTGCTATTTTCTGCTTTGTAATGTCTGCATGTATTTTATGCCATGAAGGAGTGTAGTTTTGAATATACATTGTTTGCATTTGCTAATTTTTGCTAAACCTACTGTATTTGTGTATTAGACATTTAAGGAAACCTACACCTACTTTTAATGTGGTGCATGTTGGATGCCAGGTCCCCTGCTCCACTCTGTGATTGCTTTCACTAGCCTCTACATCACAACTGTACCCTGTAGTGACATAGTTGTCAGCGGATAGTGCTGCAGAGGGAGGCTCAAGACACCGTCATCCAACAATCCTGCAAGTGTCAACTATATTAGATCTTTCGGCAAGGTTCAACTCCAAAGGGTTGGGTGGTGTGGGCAATGGGACAGTAAAATGTTAACTGTTGGATTTGGTTTTTGAAACTAGTGGCAGGGTCCCTTTTTAACCCCTTCATGACTGAGGCCTTTTTTTCATTTTTTGTACCCATGTTATATACAATTGTGGAAGCTGTGCCCAAAAAAGGCAAACCGAAGACATGGGACTCGTCGCCTATAGGCTCCCTGGCTCTTTTCCCCATTATTGACTTACCACACTGTGTCTTTGTGAAGGCAGCCATCTAAGTAGTGATCTAGGGCGTTGCCTCCTCATGCCAAAGCTGCCACCCCTTCCACAGATCACAACTGGTCAGATGACTGGTAGGGTAGTAATTGGAAGAATCACTGTTCCACAGAACGAATGAAGCAGAAGCAAGCTTGCAGGTCCTCTGGTATACAGTGAGAAGCACAGTAGTGACATTGCCAAATCTCACTTGAAATCTAGCATGATTAGCAGTCAGAGGCAGCAGTGCCTAGATGATCATACACTGCAGATATATGGCTGCTGGGCTACAGAAAAGGAGTGCCTGAATACAGTCTTGTGTTAGGAAATGCACTGCTACATTTCCAGATTAAATCAAGACAGAAATACTGCTTACACACAATTAAAGAAGATTTCTAGACAGTTCAAACATTAGCTTTTGCAGTGGGGCTACACCGCTCGCCCCTCTCCCTCTGTGTCTTCATGTCTAATAGACTGATGTCACAGGTCATTAGACTGCAGGAGACCAGGGAAGAAGAGGGTGCCGGGACAGTTCTAGCAGCCAGGCAGGACCGAGGATTGGGTTATGTTTTTGTTTTTTAACCAAATGCACACCTAACCCTTGCAGTGTGGAGGTAGCCCTGCTGTAAGGGTTATTTTTTTTTTTTAAATGTATTCATTTAACTGCCCAGTGTTCTTTACGTTTCTGGGTGTTCCATGAAAGGTAGCATATCTTCACTTTGAGCTCAGGTCCTTTTTTTTTTTTTTTTCTTAGTTTCTTGAATTTCAGCTATTTTATATATTTTCAAATTGGTGGGAAAGAATGGTTTATTAGTGATAACAATGTTAGAATGGTCAGATCCTTGTTAACGGGACTTTTTTGTTTATGATGCCAGTCACTGTAAACTGTACCAATTGTTCCATTGTATGAAGTAATATTAGTTTTGTCTTCTAGGAAATCCATTATGGTGGTGGAGAAATATTTTGAACAATATGCTTTGGTGGGGCAGGACATTTTGGAGAATAAGCAGAACTGGGACAAGGTGTTGGCACTTGTTCCAGAAGATATCCTTTTTCATTGAACGTTCCTTATTGAACAGTTTGTTAATCCCAAAAAAAAATCAGATTAAATCCTTAACCTACGTTCTCACTAGTCCGAGAGCTTGCGCAGAAAGATTTCCAGAAAGCACGTACTTCAGTTGAGCGATGGGAGAAACTGAAGAAATGTTTAAACGCCCCGGTATGTAACAATCATACAGGAAATGCGCTTGCTTTTCAAATTGACACTTTTTTTCAGTTCTGCTGTTTGAAATGTTCTCATGTTATCAATGAACAGGAACACTCATAGAGGATTCCTGTTCATTGATAACAGGGGACACAGAAAAAGAGATTGAGGACTTTGTATTCTCAATCTCTTTTTCTATTTTAAAAGGGAAATATCAGGGGTCTGTTTAGACCCCTAATATTTCCCCGAAGCCCCTAAAAGTAATGTAAAAAAAAAGAAATATTTAATAAAAAAGTAAATTAATAAATAAAAATTAATATAAAAAAAATTTTTGGTTTCGGCCTGACAATTTTTATTTTGGTTTTAAAATTTCCATTTCGGTGCTATATATATCTCGATCTATATATCTATCTATCTATCTCTCAAAACGACTTGTATAGATTAATAATCCACTAATGGGTCCAGGGTCCCCACCATGAGGTCACTGGCCATGGTCCCTCCCTCCTTAAACACACCACGTTGGGCCTGCCGCTCGCCATGTGTGTGGTGGCGTCTGCCAACTTTGCATGCACAAAATACAATAAGTGCTTGAGCAAGAGATTCACGACACCAAACGCACATAATTCTTCATCTGCCCATCGGACACATTTGCAAACGGGAGGGAAGGCTGAACTATTGTAAGGTGGGGAAAAAAATAAGTGGGGCGGAAAAAATTAAATCCTCCCTCCATATCCACCCACCCTCCTACAAAACCAGAAAAAAAGAGGGTGTGGAAAGAAAATGATGAGGGACGGGCAAATTAGGAGGAGGGAGTATAAAAATGTAAACCCTCCTCACATGCCAGATATTCATGAATGCAATAACCATACCAGTGACACCTACCGTAGTGGTATTTAAATATACTGCAGTACATACACAGTATCACATTAAACTAAGTGGTACCAACAGGTAAAACTGTAACCTAAAGGTGTAGATTTCCCCCAAGGACAGTTAACCTCTTGCCATCCGCCCGTTAAGAAAAAAACGGACGGACGGCTGACTCCTATCTGCGTGTTGCCGTCGTCAGACGGCATTTTTTTCCTGCAGTTTGTAAGCTGAAAATGTGTTTGCAAGGTAAAGTGGTATAAGGTTCCTTTTGGGCCGTGAAGCTCACTGCAATGCATTGTAACTGCAAATACTGAAACACTTCTATCTACTCTTGTCTTCATCTTATAGGATGTTAAAAAGGGTACTGCTAAGGAGATCATGTTACAGTACTGCTATCCCCGATTGGATGTGAATGTGAGCAAAGGTGTTAATCACTTGTTAAAGAGCCCTTTCAGTGTTCACCCTAAAACAGGTAATTGAGCACAATGCAGACTATATGCTTCTCACAGATAGGTTCATTTTTATAGGATCTGTCCAATGATTATTTATAGATGGGGCTTAGTGGACTGAGTCAGCCCCTGGCTTCAAATATATCATTTTTAATTGTTGATTTTATTCCTGCCCACCTTGCATATTTCAGAACCTCTAGCTGGATTCAGTATAATATGAACTACAACAGGGAGAGTGAGAACCCCTTTATAATAGCTGCAGCAGGTGTGCCGACCTAGGAACCTGGGTATAGAGTATATTTCCAACAAAGTCCCCAAGAGATGCAGTACTACACTTGTCACGTCATGTAGTAACTCGACAGCATCTAACAAAATATTTATTTTGATTGGACTGCCGCTGTAAAACCAATGTGAAATATTTTGATTTGTCTTTCCTGTTAATGGTTGTCAGCAGTTTATTAATTTTATATTGTATCATATCTGTCTTTCAGGAAGAATTTCTGTACCAATAGATTTCAAGAAGCTGGATCAGTTTGATCCATTTGCAGTTCCAACAATAAGGTAGGCAACAGTTAAGGCACTAAAATGAGTTGGTATCCCAAATTCTCTCCTTGCATTGCAAGAACTCCAGGAAAAACAAATAATAACCCTTGCAGCGGGCTTATACCAGCACTGCTTGTTCGTGTCTAGGTGCTAATATAAAAAAGTTATACATCCAAGACCATATAAGTCATATAAGACCATATAAGTCATTTATGTAATGCACACCCCTATATTGACCCCAAAATATAATCAACAAAGTCCACTGATTTAAAATGTCACATTACTGTGACTTTTATGTAACGTGGCAGAATGGTATAGCTCAAAGGGAACTTAGGCATTTACTTTAGGAAAGCTTTATTACCCCTTTCAGCAATACATTGTGACAAACGCAGTGTTTGCATGATATTAAGATGAGAATAAGTTGGGTTGACAATTGCTAAAAATGTAAATGACATTACATTCACTTACGTGAGCATTGCATGTTTGCGCAATGAACTCAAATGTCATCCAGATCACCCAATGGCATTGTTGCGAGCTGGGGATTAATCGGAGGGACTATTTTTAATATATAAATATATATGTGGAATATTCTATTTTTCTATACTTTATTTTATATTTTTTCACTGGGCCTGGTCAGTGGAAACCTAATCCAGGCCCCTCCATGCAGATGTGCAGCAGCAGGTCAGTTCCATTAGTAACCTGCTGCTGGCTGCAGTCAGCCAGTAATAGATCACTACAGCCGTGATCTGTTACTGCGGGAGGCACGGGACAGAGCTGTGACATGGAAAATAACTTTTTTTTTTTTTTTCTTCTCGACTTAAGCTTGCTATGTAGTGAGTTGGACAATGTGAATATAAAAGAGGATCAGGATAGCCCTGGTGATGAGGAGCCAGAAGTTAAACGCAGAACAAGAGGTAACCAAGAAAATTAAGTTTTATGAATCCTGAAAATGTGCTCCTTGAATGATTGCATGAAAACTACCTAAACATGTAGTTCCTCTTCTCCTAATTCAGTTGTATGTGTGTATATAGAGCATTTTCCTGCACCTGTCGAGTGTTACAAAACATACTGTCCAGTATTTTAAAAGATTATAATCTATAGGTAAATAAATAGGTAGCTATAATTTTGCCTTCTACAAATACATACAAACATCTTGCAATCATAAAAAATGGGTGGATATGAATTGGTCTAATTTATTGGCTTTAATTACCCTCATGAATGTTGGTGTTCAGTTGGAGAGATTTCCCCTCACTTCTGTTAGGGCAGGAAGTGAACAGAGATCTCTCCAGCTAGGACAGACAGCTGTAGTATAGTGGTTAGCACTGAGAGTCCTTGGTTGGAATTCCAGCCAGCTTACTATCTGCATGTAGTTTGCATGTTCTCACTGTGCTTGTGTGGGTTTCCTCCTATACTCCAAAGATATGCTGGAAGGTCCATTGGCTCCTGTCTAAATTGGCCCATGTATGTATGTATGTTAGGGACCTTGGATTGTAAGCTCCTTGAGGGCAGGAACTGATGTGGATGTGCACTATATAAAGCGCTGCATAAGTTTTCGCCACTATATAAATGCCAATAATAAATAAATAAAACCCATCTGCTTCAGTATAATGGAGGAAGGGTTTAGAATCTCTCTAAGGTTATTATTACTGTCTCGGTCTTGTCTTGATGATCACTGTCCATTAATTAATCAAGAAGTGACGTGTAATCTTCCCAATGGGGAAGTTATTCTGTCCCCAAGTCTACTTAAAATAAATGAGTTTTAAAGGTAATTATATTAGTTTCTTGAGGCACACCATTCATCATTAGATGGGGCTCTGGGGAGTTTTCTTTTTTTCTTTGCATAGACATCAGCTTTAGATTTGAAATACAAGTTTTGTTTATATTCACTAGATTATAAAAGAACAAGCCTTGCTCCATATGTGAAGGTGTTTGAACAATTTCTTGACAAGCTCGATCAGTCACGAAAAGGAGAGCTACTGCTGAAAAGTGGTAAGTGAATGGCAATCAATTCTAATACTTTTCAAGTGAGGGAAAATATACATTTCCGATTTGCTGGAATCTAAAACTAGATACTCCTTATCTATATTGCCAGCATTTACCATCAGAATATAGTAGGTAATATTTAATAATGTCAGTTGTTTTGGTACCCCTATGACCAGTATACAGCAGCAGATTGAAAGGGTATCTATGGTTAACAAAAAAAAATAAAATGTATTTCTATATTACATTTCCATAAGTTCTATCCCACTCCTAATAACCATATTGATCTAGAAATATGCGGCGCTATAAATGTCCGTACAGGTAATCAGTTTAGTGTTAAGCGTGAATATTGGCCACCTGCTGCTTGATCAGCTTCTTCCCTTGCTACATGATACGGAGTATGGTCTTACTTGGAGCATCAATTTTCCCACAGTGTACTTATTCATACATTTTCTATGGTGTCGTTTGATGTATGTGTAACTTTACCGCTCAACCTGGGGTAAATGTTGTATTTGGAAATGAGATGTTTATGAATACATCATACTTAAATATAGCTTTATTTTTTTATTTTTTTTTTCCCCCATTTAGATCTGAAGCGGGAGTTTTAACATTTCCGGCATGCTCATCGGTTTGCGTATCCGTGACTGATTTACATCGGGATATGCTTTGTACAATTTGGGCTTATTTAATAAGAGTTCAGAAACCTATATAAAACAGATTAGTAACTGGTGAAAGCTGGTTGCTATGGGTTACTGTGTTTATAATTCGTCTAATAAGTCTTACTTCTGAGGATCTTCGCAAAGTAATATCTGTATATTGGAAGTACATGGACTCAGGTTACCATAGCCACATGAGATGAAGCTGGCCTTGTTGAATGAATTTGTTTGACTGTTCCCTTTGCCCCAGAGATCACACTGCCAGAGCTGTCCAGATGCACCCCTCCATACTCCATAGGCATGCATGCCTGGGCAATTCAGATGTGGAAGTTTATGCACTTGGAAAATGTCCCCACATGCTTGGGTTGTGCCTGTACGTCTGATCGCCTTCTAGTGTCTAAAGCCACCTTTTAGACGCCAGCGATTTTTATGTCCAAAGTTAAAAATTTAAAAAATGTCCATCGGATTGTCCAATTGGTTAAGATATGAAGAAGTGAAAGCGCATTAACTAATTGTGTTTTTAGTGTTACTGAACAAGGATCACAAATTACCCTGTAAAAGTAAATTGTATCACGTATGTTTTTTACAAATAAATTGTATTATAGTTTGGTACTTGTGCTTAATTATATGTATAAACACAGTAATGGAATTACATTTCATGCTACTAGACAATTCACTACAGCTCACTTAGTATTGTGTAGTGGTGTTGCTTACAGAAACCAGCAAACTTGCAACAGTCATTCACCTAGTGCATGGGTCAGCAACCTGCGGCTCCGGAGCCACATGTGGCTCTTTCATCCTGCGGCTCCCTTTCCAGGGGCGGAACTACTGCCAGGGCCTCGGTACGGGTGTAACTGCACACTGTGTGCTGTTATTTCATTTAATTAGAAAAGTGGATTATAATGGGTGAACATTATACTGTAATGTTGCCTATTATAATCTATTTCTCTGATTAAATGATTAGACAGGGCCGTTGTTCTATCAAAGTTTGTGACTAGGTTGGAATGTGTGACCGGTGACGTGGAAAAAACGTTTCAATGTAACCTTTCTCAGCTGTTCCAGGGCAGATCGGCATCGCAAATCGTATGTGCAGGAGAACTGATCTGCCCTGGAATAGCTGTTCGGTCCTGAAATTATTCTATCCGACTTTGTGAGTGGGGTGGAATGTGAGATCGCACTCACAAAGTCGGATAGAAGTGACATTTCAGGACCGAATAGCTGTTCCAGGGCAGATCAGTTCTCCTGCACATACAATTTGCGATGCTGATCTGCCCTGGAACAGCTGAGAAAGCATTGGAATGCTTGCCTATTGGTGGTCACACATTTCCACAGCCAAAAAAATGGTGATGTGTGACTACATCACTGGTCACACATTGTAACCTAATCACAAACATTGATAGAACACCACCATCAGGGGGGTACGGCCGGTACCCATGTGGGGGGTCTGGGCAGCCTGGGGGCCTCTTACATGAGTATCAGCTGTACCAGGGGCGGCATGGCAGAGGTGACGGGTGGGGGTGGAGGAGGCCAGGCCCCAGCAGCAGCAGATAAGAGGAGTTGGGAGCAGGTACAGGGAAAGAGACCCTGGCGACCAGCCCACCTGTGGGCTCTGCAGGGCCTCCATAAAGAATCTCAGATGGGCTGTGCAGGATCTAAGGTGTGCTCTGCAGGGTCACTCTCAGGTGGGGTCTCGGGTAAGCCCAGAGTCCAGTGCGTTACTAAGCCCACATATACCTATATACATGCTATACATGGCATAAAGGTAAAAAACGATATGCAGTGTTATCTTCATTTTAGATGTCAAAAGAGTTTTGTGGCTCCCGGTGTTTTATTTTCTGTGGAAAACTCTTTGAGTGTTTAAGGTTGCTGACCCCTGACCTAGTGTAAGGTAGTGACAACTGTGTGAATGCATCCTAAGGAAAGGCTGCTTGGTGCGATAATTATGTAAAAGCACATGTGATAAGCCTATAGTTCTTTTGCTGCAGTGGCTGCTTTTCTATTAATAAATACTGTGCATACATATTAAAGAACCAGTTTCCTTTAACTTTTTTCTTTATAAAATATCAAAATCTTACACTGCTTTACATAGTATATATTCACCAATCACAACAGTCCCAGAGTCTCTTGTCTACAGCCCCGTCAAAACTATCAACACCTACCACACCCACCCATAGGCCAGTTTTTAGTGCTGATCTATTGCTGATGTCTCATTTTGCAAATGCTAGCTGCCTGGCTTTTGTTTTAGTACTTCAAGTCGCTGACTTGGAACAACAATGCAGATAGACATCTGACTTTCCTGGTCTGCATACTTGTTTTGCATCAGTGACTGGTAGCATTGAAGCCACAAGGTAAGCATAATAGACAGGCAGCGTTCATTTTCAGGAAGAGATTAGCAGTGCCCATGATTTTTTTCAGTAAAGCTTTACAGAAAGAAACCATATATATTCTCAAACAATTCATCCCCACACAGCTACCTCCTGATGTATCACTGGCCCCTCCCTTTTCGATTGTAAGCTCTCACGGGCAGAGCGCTCCTTACGGTCTTGTCCTGAATTGTATTATAATTGTACTGTCTTCCTTATATTGTAAAGCGCTGCGCAAACTGTTGGCGTTATATAAATCCTGTATAATAATAATATAATTTTTGGAATGTGGGAGATTGAGCTACAACTGGAAATGCCGATGTTGGAGTACATAAATGTAGACCGGAAGTGGCTACAAAAAGGCTGAGGGTGATAAGTAGTGCTAAAGGAAAAAAACGTATCCCCTTTATCTTCTTTTGATGTGTTCTGAAGACAACAGGGTTATACTGCTGCTTACAGGAGAATTAGACAAAAGAGTGACTATGATTATGTGCCAGCGAGCGTGAAACAAGAGAAATCTCCTCTTACTATATTTCTGCCTTGTCAACATTTTAAATGCACAAAGAAGACTCTTTGTTTTTTGTGTGTGCGGTCATCCATTTGTTGATATTGTGTTAGAAGCTGGCACTTATTCATTAGGCGGATAAATGTGGACAGCACATGGTTTGGATCACTTTCTGCTTACAAGTGTCTAGACGCAGGCACCCTTGCACTGATCATGGGGATCCCCAGATCCTTTGGCTCAAATGCTGGTATCCGGAACTCCCATTCAAGAAACATAGAGAGCGCATGCCCTTTGTTGGAGAATGCATTTTTGGCGAATCCTTGAATACATACTTTAAGAAAGTCACATAGAGACAATAGTAGCAAAATCTTCTGCTTCTCACAGGCCTCGAGTTTCAAACCCAAGCAGGGCTCACAGTTCCTATCCAAAGCCCGGTCCTCCAAGTCTGCTAAGCTTGGAAGCAAGCCCTCTTCACAATGAATGGGTGCCCTTTCTCTACACTCCACTCTGGACAAGGATGTTTCTGATGCCTGGGTTCAGTGTGTGGTAACCAATGGCTACAAACTGGAATTCCGCTCTCTGCCCTAGGTCAGCTCCTTGCTTAGGGGGTCATAGTCCCCGTTGTGGAGGCAGAAATGTATCAGGAGTTTTACTCCAACCTGTTCACTGTCCCAAAGCCCAAGGGGGGTTTGACCTACTCTACTACTACTCCTTAAGTTCCTCAACAAGTACCTGTGGGTCCAAAGTTCCATATGGAATCCACCTGCTTTGATATCACCGCCCTGCACCAGGGCAATTTCATGACCTTGGACATCAATGATTCATATTTATACATTCCCATTTTTCCTGGCCCCTGCCTGCAGGCACCCAACATTACCAATTTGTTGATTTTTTTTTTGATTTTTTTTTTTTTATTTAATTCTGCCCATGGCAAACCAGGTTTTTTCCAAGGTACAGGCCTCTGTCTTGGCAATGCTTTGGTCCCAGGGACCCCCCATTCACTGGACAATACAGGTCCTACAGAGCTTAAGATAGATATTGAACGTCCAAAAATCAATGATGACGCCTTCCCATTGCTGGGAGTACCTGGCCCTAGTCTTAGACATGACCCTGTCCAGGGTCTTCCTTACCCCAGAGAGGCGTCTGTCTCTCCACTCGTGCTTGGACATTATGGTCCAGGAGCTGTCTGACCATTTGACTTGGCTTTGAAAGTTCTGCGCCCAATGTTGGCCTCAATCATCCCTAGTTTCACTCCAAGCCACTGCATCTCAAAATCCTGGGTGCATAGGACAAACAGATTTAATCCGTGGATCTCACCATCTCACTGTCCGGCAAGACTAAGTTTGCACTGGTGTGGTAGATATAGATATCCAACCCAGAACTGCAGTAAGGAAAGGTTCTGGAGAGCCTCTCAATTCAGGGAACCTAGTCATCAGAGTAATCTTGGCTCAGGATTAAAAGCTTGGAGCTCGGAGCAATTTGGTTCTCTCTTGAACGCTGGAACCCCCATCCCTTCTCAGTGGCAGGGTCACCCGACAGGATTCAGTCAGATAACGCTACGGCCATGGCTTACATCAAGTATCAAGGAGGCACTAGAAGCTGCGCAGCTCAGAGAGAAGTCGACCTGATTCTGGCTTGGGTGGATCCAGGGATCCCCAAGCATTCGCAGTGGATGCCTTAGTGTCTCCTTGGCATAAGTTAAGTCTGATCTACGCCTTTTCTCCTCTTGCCTTGCTTCTGTCGCAGGTTTGAGAAGGAGGGCATTTCAGTGACCCTCATTGATCCCAACTGGCCTAGGAGTCCCTGGCATGAGGGATGTAGTCAAGATCTGGGCAGACTCTCCGTGGGCACTTCCGGATCATCCAGACCTCCTGTCCCTAGGACCAGTATTCCACCCTGCTTCTTGTTCACTGATTTTAATGGTGTTGCTGTTAAAGTCCAGGCCATTTGGACATCATCAGACCTGCCATTGCACTTGGAAGGCTTATTATGCCTGGTGCAAAGCCAGGAAGTTCCATCCTAGGAAGTACTGCGTGGAACACATTTGACCTTTCCTGCAGTCTGTCCTTGACCAGAGATTAGCAAAGGTCAGATATCTCCCTTGGCAATTCTATTCAAAAGCAGGCATCTCCAACCTAGCCTTGAA